TTCTGGTTTCTGATGAGTGCTATCTGCGGCCTTTCTTTCAAAAGAAAAAAAAGTGTGGAAGAAAACTCAACGGTCTAAGGCCCAGTTACTTAATGGGTATATAGGACAGTTTTTGTAAAGATACATTGATCATATTAAAAACATCAATAAAAAGCGAAGCCCATAGGGCCATAGGATCCCCACGTTTCAGCCCAAAGTTTGACCACGAGGCAGTGCGGTAAAATAGAAAATGTTCTTTCATTTTTTAACAGTTTACAAATACGGGGGAGGGGGATTCAAACCCTAGCTCTCATACTGAAGATATACTTTACAAATCGATTTATAATTGTTGGTTCGTAAGAGATTTAAATTAAAAAAAAAAAAAAATGATGCCTGAATTCAGAAATTTAAAAACTCTTTGTCGACCCATTTCCCCAGGTAGGTGAAAAACTTAAATCCCACCTTAAAGACTTACCGGATGATGGGCTGGAGAAACCTGCTCATCTTTTTGCAATGACAACAGCGCCCTCGGGATATTTTTTTGGTACTGGCATACTATTTTGGCTGTCTAGATTTATTTTTTTATATAGTTGATAATTGATAATAAATATTTTTTTTAACAAAATATAATTAACTTATCATACAGGAAAGTAAAAAGGAAGATAATTAGGATTCAAACTTTCAACTTGAAAGAATGTTCTCTCTAAAGTCAAATGAAAATCCACTCAGTCCATGCGTGTAGAACAATTGATAGAATGTTTAATAATTAATAATTATTGTTATTTATTATTTAAAATATTTAATTTTTTTTGAATAAATTTACAAAAAAATCAGATTTAAACCGTTATCCAAAAAAAGAAAATACACTTTAAACATAACTTAACGTCATTTAATAAAGATCCAAATATAAAATATTTAATCTATTTAATTATAATAAGTGATAACTATTTATATAAAACCTAAACAAACACTCTTTATAACTAGTTAGTTAGGCCCCGAATCCTATATATTATTTTGGGTCCCAACCCCCAAACATGTAAATTGTAAAGTCTGTGACTTCAGTAGTTCAACGTTGAAGGTTTTTTTTTTTCTTTTCTTTTTCCTAGTAATGTTGAAGGTGTTTAGATTTAAATAATGGAGAGACATTTAAAAATGAAAAACACGTTACGTTTAATTTTAAATACTCAAAAAAAATTTGGAAAAGAGAAAGGCGATACCTATAATTTTGTAGCCACATATATTGAGATGCAACAATAATCAACTCAAAATTTTATTTCTTTAAAATTTATTTCACAATGGGGTATTTTTGTTATTGTAGCTGATTCCTCCTTGGTTACTATTTAAAAGTTCGAGAAAACTTAATGCTTCCTAGCTGTATCATTTACTGAAGTTGAAAGCAAAGTTTCCTATAGGAAAAGAACTATCCAATTTATTTCCAGCCAGGCTAAGAAACAGTGACAGCCATCCCCGAAATTGGAACATTTTTGGGCTATAATATGGGAGGCAATGCCAAGGCTTCTTTCCACTGAAGCACCAGTGAAGTGAGAAACAAAGGTGTGATAATGGAGACTACTTCAAAAGTACTTTTGGTCTCTGCAATTCTTCTGCTTGCCCTTGCTTCTGCAGCTGAAGGTGGCAGGAAACTCAAGGATGAAGCTGAGCATCCCCAGAACTTCATCGGTGGGATTGTTACCGGGACGTTCTTCCCCAGTCCTGCTGGTGGTTTAGGCTTTAGACCTGGGCCGTCTGTCTTCTGCTCCTTCCCCGGGAATGGCTGCGTTGTTGGCCCTACTTTCCCTGGGGGATCAACTGGCTCTACGCCCTTCACTCCCCTGACTCCACCATGACAGGATGGCCTGATCAGCCTCACTTCCCTGACTCAGCTGAGAACCATCTGGGTTTCAAGTTCTTGAAGAAGTTTCCACTTTCCAGGGCTTCTTTTGCTTTTTATAGTGTGGGCTTTGTCTTCTAGTGACTATATATAGCTAGGACCCTGTTGTGCTGTACTTGTATTATGTTGTGCTGTACTTGTATTATGTTGTGTCATGTTTTTCTGGTAAATCGATTCTGAATTTTCACTATGTATCTTGTGCTAGTTTGTTGTCTCTTGTCTTGCTTGGTTTGATATATGAATCTATGATGTTGTGTTTCACATGCTCCCTTAGAACACACTGCATTTTGCAAACCATATTGTGATTATTGTGCTTCTCGGATTCCAACGATTTTTTGGATTTAAAGATCCAAAGCTGGCGGTTCTTTTTTTTTTTTTTGTTCAAAAGTTTGGATGTTGATCTTAATTGGTTAAAAATGATAATTGAACTTATTTTACAATAATGGTTTTTATAAAATTAAAATATGAGATTAATGTGTATTAATTTTGATTTTTAAAACAATTAAAATTTTAGTTTATATTTAAAAACTAAAGTTTTAATTTTAATTTTAAAAATCTATTTTATTAAATATTAATATTTAAATTTAAAAATTAATTATATATTATAATATAATTAATTTTTAAATCTAAATGTCAACATTTAATAACATGTTGAATTGAGTTTTAATTAAATAAAATAATATAGTTTAAAATTAAATTTTCAATTTATTTTGAGAGTTTTACTTATATGTATTTTTCTTATTAAAATAAAATACTAAGATATACTATTTTTTTTAAGAGATTACTTTTTAATTTGATAAAAAAAAAAAGAGCATCATTAGGTTTATGTGGGAATAGTTATGACCATCTAATAAAATGTTGAGATTTCACAAAAAAAAAAAAAAAAAAAGTCAATTCACTACTAGAAAACTCAACTTCATCGACCTACAATCATCGACCTAACAATTTTCCTCGATGAATTGATAGTGTTTATCGACAAGCAATATGTCTAAAACTCTGCGAACAGTTAAATTAAGAGTAATATATATTATTTATGGGTCAGGCATGGGTCAGACAAGATCTTTGTTGGTGAATTAAAACAATGCACACGTGTTATTTGTCGGTAATTTCATGCAATATTCAGTCCGGCAACCGGCAAACCAAAACAAAAATTACCAAAGTGCTTCTTGTCGGTAATTTCACAAACTTAACTTTCCCCCGTGAATCCGATTGGTTGTAACAGGAGTTGTAGCCTTTTATTCCAGTTATTGACGTGCTTCTTGTCGATGAAATGGAAGATCAACTTATTCTAGTTGGTAATTTACCATATTTGTGGGTCACTTTTATTTTGTGGGTTATGATTTTATGCAAAATTTATGTAAAAGTTTTGTTTTAGGGGATCCTATTTCTTTACTTTTGTCACTTTTATTCTCAAATGGTTA